CACATAGTCCCATGAGGTTGACGCTAATCGCTTGTAAGTTCCTTTTGCCCCATGTCAGCAGATCGGGCCAAGTAAGTATCCCTAAAAGTCTAGGAACCAAATCATTAGTGCGAGCGTGAGCTTTCCTGCGTCCAGTTACTAGAAGCTTTAGGAGCTTAGCTTACTCCCTTACTTGAATAAGTAGTGCCCTACTTAATTAAGTGAGGAGGCAGGGCCACGGGCAAACGACAACCAAAACAAGCTTTCTGAGTCAACCCATTAATGCTTGAACCAGCTTTGGGGTCTGCCCATTTTGAGAGCCAAGTCCACATCGGCTCATGTTCCTTTTTGAGCCAAGCCAGCCAACGTATGGAAGCAACATGAAGCAAGTTGACTAGCCCCAAATTTTGAGCTAGTCGCCGCCGCCTCTGTTCGCGAACAATTTTGGCTCCAATGCAGGACAATGTTGCCTCAAATACTGACGGCACTCCTGAGCAACTCCCCGGCAGCCAAATTATTGTATCCTCTCGTCTTGCTTTTGAAGCTTGCTATACTGTATGAGTTAGGTGCGTTGATCAGGCGTGTGATAGTGATTGAGGTTTGTGAGTAAGTGGATTGTAGTGCGAGTAATTGTTGTGTGTAGGAGGAGAAGGAAGATGAGGTGGGGAGGTAGGAGGAGAGGAGGAGGAAGAGGAGGAGGAGGAGGAGGACAACAGCGTGGGAGTAGAACAAAACATAACTAAAACCAAAGGGAAACAAACTAAGTTGTGGCGAGAAAGGGTAAGAAACCTGGAAACATGATTTTCACAGAGAGCATCAGAGAGCAACAAGCCCAGCCTTGGACAGGACGCTAGAAGGCTAGAAAGCTAAACTTATATCCGCATACTGTATGTAGGTTGCAGTAGTGTACTGTACTTCAAAACATGGAATGTTTGCCGTTTGCTGCTTTCTCTCACTTGATCTCAGGTCCTGACCTGATTTTTCTTGAACACGCGCTTTGAGCAGCTCACTTGTTATTTTTTACTGTAAAAAATAATCACATGCTTCAATTGAATTTCATTGATACATATAAAGCTACAACTATAGTCAATCATTTGAGGTAATTATTTGATATGATATTTTGTAAACTCGTGTCATTCAAGGACGCTGGGTCTATCTAGATCAATAGGACCACCCGTGACCCCTTTCCCCCCTGTGTTTCATCCATTGCCCGCCATCCTTTACAGACCTATGCCTTCGTAGACACGTCCTACCTTATCAAAGTATCCAGACACCTGCTAATGATTCTACTGATACCATTCTCACTTGTGCAATTTTATCCTTGATCAGGCTCTGGACGTGTAAATGTGGATGTATATGTATATGACAAAGGTCTCCTCCTTTATTAAAAGCCTTGGTCTTCATGAAAGGTTGCTCCATCATGCGGACTTTCACCTTGGTAGTTGTTTCCCTGATGTACATTTAGTTTGTAAGAAAATCATACACAGTAACAACCTAGCCAGGCAGGAAGCAACCACAGACTGTTTACGCAGGAGGGTGACCACTGAAAGAACAACAAGTCTTGATGTTTGTTGCAACGGCCAATCAATCCTCAAAAACGCACGATGTGCCATGCCACAACATCCAGGTGAGCCCAATTTCACAGTGTACTATGTCATGCTGACAAAATCAATTATAAGTTTTGTGCGTTTGGTGCTATTGCCCCTGCAGTAGGATCACGGACAGCAGATTACATATTCGCAAGATCAGCGTTACGCCAACCAAGCCGCACTGAACGAGGACGTTTGGGGTGAAGCTGCATTGCATATCTTGAAGCTCATAGCGCAAGAGCTACCGAGGCGAGCAACCGTCAGCAATTTGCCATATAAATGTGGGGGTGAGCAAACACTTAAACATAAATCACTATCATCGAACATGCATGGCTGTAGCTGGAAACATCTGGAAACCAAGCATTGGATCGGGGTATCGATTGGGATTTGTGTTTTCAAGATGTTGACTTCCCCGTGTGTACTCGGCACAGCCACGGCTTCAAGAGCATCATCCACATTTTTCAGGCGAGGGCTTTTGAAGGAATTTGAGTGTCAAAGCAAATTGCTTTTATTCAACTCTTCTTTTAGGGGGTGTAGGCCGCTACAGGTAGCTAGTAGAAGCTAGGTAGCTAGTACCTACAAGTAAGCTACTAGTATGGAAGCAGGATAGCTCACGCTTCTTCAAGGAAGCTCCCCCAGCCGTTTCGGTTCACAGCTACTCGGCTTACGCGGCGGACACCCGCCGGGGTGCGGCCACCTGTCCACACAGGGGTTGCACGTCAACAGAGCAGGCCTTCAACGGGGCCTGCAGTGTCCACTCTGTCGAAGATGGCTAAGAAGAGTGATGAAGGACACCATGCCGCTAGAAGCTTGGTTGAGTGGGCTACGATGGGGCTCCGGTCTGCTCTTGGAGAGACGGTCACCAATGCCTTGGTGGCAATCGCCGGTGAATGCAGAGCTAGTGATCAGGACTGGATCCTTTTTGGGGAAGTGCTCTCCTCACGGGATGGTCCTCCCTTCTGTGCCCAGGTTCGTCGTGTTTCGCTGCTGTCTTCGAAACCAGGTTTTGGGGGTGAGCAGTGGACAAATTTTGACTTGATTTGCCCCACTCCTCATGTTCGAGTTGTCTTCACTGCAGGGATGCTGATAGGTGTTTTCACCAAGCCGGCTAATCGACCAGGGCAGAACTAAGTGATTGCTGATGACACGGTTCCAATTTGGAACATCTCCACCTTTGAACGCTGCCTTGCATGGAATGTGACCCACCTTTTCTCAGGGGCCTACGAAGGTTGGTTGAGGGCTATGTGGTGGCTTCAGCAAGCCAAC